AATACTCTATGGGTCACCAAAAATTATCTACTCTATACTCTAAATACTCAATGAGTCTCTCCTCTTCATCTCCTTAGTTACTGTAGTGACTTAGATCATCATGTCTAGTCTAGTCTGCTGCAATCCTTCAAATTCTCCCCACATTGTACTCTGCTTAATTTGTTTTCCATACAGGACCAACAGAAGTACAAATCATCTCTGTTGCTCTTAGTGTAAAGTTCAAATTCCTTAAAACATCATGCAAAACTCTGCAGGATCAGCCCCTTGCATCACCCCCAGACTCTTCACTGGCCACCATGTCTCTCCTCTCTAAGCTCTAGCCACAGTTAACTTCTTTCAGTTTATGACATTATGATTTTTCTTATCTCCTGGTTTTTCTATGCATTATTTCCTCTGTCTATAATACTTTTGGCTTTTTTAAAAATCTTCTAGATTGGAATTATTTTCTAGAATTATGACTAGATGTTACTTTATCAGGTAGTCATGTATTTCCTAACACTTGGGTTAAGATAGAGCACCTGCTTTATATTTTTATGGGTCAATATACTTCTGCTATCACAATGCCCATCATGTCTGTCTGTCTATTAGTACCTATCTATCTATCTATCTATCTACCTACCCATATGTTTATCTGCTTTCCCAACTGGACAGCAATTCCTGTAGATTTATTTACCACTACACTTCCACCATGCAGGTAATTATTAATTTGTATGCACTCAATAAATATTTGTTCAGGAAAAAATGAAAACTAAGATTTTTTTTTTTTAAAGGCCACTTTTTTCATTACCTTTGATTGCATTAGTATGCTATACATTTGAGTTGTAAAAGTTTAAATTTATTACTCATTTACTGAATTATTCTAATAGTATACATATAGGAGAACTATACTACAGAACTCAGACGATTTAATATTTCTCAAGATTTCCATTTATGAACTCTAGAATGTTTACTGGTAATAGAAATTTTCTGTATGAAATGAATGTGTCAGAATTCAGCTCCAAATCACACAGTGCCATCCAGTGCCCCATGATGTTCTGTCCACAATTCCCGTGGAGAGAGAGGCAGCACTCATTGCACATTCGTGCAAACACCGGTTAATCTGGCTAATGTCTTCAAATTGAAGGATGTAAATTAGGAGCTTTTTCTGTACTTTCTTTAGATAGAAGTTTTCATATTATCTTTTGTAGATACCAGAAATGAGTCTTAAATAACTCTAAGAGGCCAAGCACATTAAGATGTGTAGGTGTGTATGTGTTGTGGGAGAGAGAGAGTGAGGTGTGTGGGTGGGGTGGGAAGAGAGAAAGAGACAGAGAAATATTAGAGTACACGGAAGTATCAAAAGAAGTCTAAATAAAAGTAATGTGCAGTGAATGAAGTTCACAAACCTGAGCAAGTCAATTTTACCAAGCTACCACACATGACACAGGAATGTGAGTGATGTGAGTACTGATTGAAGTTGTGGTTAAGTGTTTTGTGCTTATCTGACACTACATGCTTTGTGAGGGAAAAATAAAAGTACCAAATGGGATGAGGATCTTTTAATGTAAGTAGTATCAAGAATTTCAAACAAAGCTACAGCAAAGTAATAAGTATTGAGGTAAAATCATGTGGTGTTTTTCTCTAAGCGTGCATTTGAAATTTTCCTTTCAAGATGAGCTGCAATGAAGGGATTATCTATGTGATTGTAGAATACACAGGGTAAACATAATTTTAAAAATTGGGATCAAAATGAAACTTTTTTTCCTTTAAAATTAAAAATAAGGAGATTTAGAATTTCAGGAGAAACCTTAGGCACATCTCTATCTTTGTGGAGATTAATGAGTAAGTAAAAATATAGCAATAGTGACAACTCAAATTTTCTTTTGCCTTTTAATATATTATCTTAAAATACTCATAGCTTTGTTTTGTATAAAATTTCAATACATTCTGTTTTCTGCGATAGTTTATCTAACAGTCTAGAAACAACAGCAAAAATGTCTTAGCAAAGAAGTTGATTTTTTCAAAATGGAAAAGGCAGAATGGTTTAACGATCTAAGGTTTCAAATGTTTGGATCCAATAATTGGTTTTAGAAATATGAAAATAAGAAAAATATGAAAAATAGGCTAGATATTAAAGGCATTGCTACAAAGTATTTTTATTCAATTAATATTTAATATTCCCTTAATATGCAAGAAAATATAAAGTTGAGAAAGAGGTAGTAGAAAGGCAAGTAAGGCAATGTGTCTGTCATGAGGACATATCTAACCTGAAAATTGTGTCTGGTTCCCCCTTATTTTCTGACCCGTTTAAAAAATTATTTCACAGTATAACAAAGTTATACTCAAGAAACTATGAACATTTTAAACCATTAGGACATTTGTTTTCTATTATTCTGTATACTATTATAGCACTAGTACATGAAATTAGAATTGGTATAACTAATATGCCATGTTAAATGATTGAGCAAATACAAACTGAACATTATTCCTTCCAAGAACTCCTACATACACCTCACAGAAGAGTAAGGTTGCATGAAACATATCATAAATACATATAGCTTAAGATAATATAACTGTCCAATTTCTGAATATCAGAGGTGTCTTAAAAATTTATAATGAATCTGAGCACAATTTAATTCTATAAAGCATTTGCTTTCCCAAAGTCTTACTGAACTAATCGGGATATGGTAGTGTGCTTAGTTTTTAAAGTGTTGCTGCCCTTAGTATGACTCTTCTGAAGAAATGGTGAAGGCTGAATTGATACTTGAAAATGTGGTCCAAAAGTATTCAAGTATTTAGTTTAAAATTTTGTGAAGATACTGGTTTCTTATTTAAATATATTTGTCTCTTTGAATCCAAATTTGGCTCTTTCAAAGTAGTGACAAAAGCATTGTATACCTCAAATTTAACACACTGATTGCCACACTAGAAAAAAAAAATTTTCCCCCTGGGGCCACAGTGTTTTATCGAAACAAAACGATCCTTTCTAATTTGTTATTTTTTACTGTTTTCTGTGCTTGAGTTATATACAACACAATCCACATTTTTAGAATTATATTCTTAATATTAATTGTAACAATAAGAACATCAGCAAGTAAGATTTTTATGGACCAACTGCAGGGTTTTGCTTCATGAGGCCCAGGGCTTGAAACTAGCCTGAGTTAAATACAACTCACATGGCAGTCAAAGTGTTAAGGCACTGCCAATGTGTGGCTGGTGGGATTTAAATACAACAGTAAAATTTTATTCTATTCATACATTCCTGTTAGGAATAATTACAATTTCCTTCAGATATATGGACTTTCCTAAGGATAATATTCTCATATTAAACTCTGATACTCAACCGTACATATTCGAAGACTGGGTCAAGGTGGTTATAACAATTTTATTTCTATGGCACTATGTCAAACTCTGTAAAATATTAGTGAGTTAATAAAAGCCTTAAAAAAGAATTATCTTTGAAATGAATTAAATGAACAAAGTACCTTTCAACAATAATACAATTAACTTTTTCAGATAACACATACTAATATAATATAAAAAATACAGGGAAAATACATTTAACAAATAAAGCGCACTAAAGTCCAATAACTAGTGGTCAAATATGGTAAGTTAATGGTCATATTTAGTTTTCTTTCAATCATTCAACCCATAGTTATCGGGCTCTTTTTATATATAAGGTACTAGGTTAAGTACATTAGATACAATGATGGGTAATTCAAACTGATCCCTTACTATAGACTCTATTACTTTTCTCCTTCAAAACTCTTTGCAAAAAGCCATTGAAGAATCCAAGTTTTCAGAGATTTATCCTGGTTGGCATATCTTTAATCCAAAACATGCTTGGTTTTCCTATATTGAACAGATATAGTCCATCTTGTACTCTTCTTGGTACTTATGTGAAAAAGCATAAAATTTTTATCAAATTTAATCATGATATTACCTTTAATCAGATAGAAACATCTCTGCTCAAGTTTAAATAGTGTTAAATTATTTTAAAGTGCAGCTATTTCCCTCAATGGGGAGTTATTTGGAAATGATGGACATGACCCTAAATCCACAACTATGCTTGCCAATTAATTACTTCACAGATTAAAAAAGCTGAAATGTGATCAGTGACTGTAATTAATTTTTGCAAAGTAAAGTTTTTGAAAAGACTTTGAAGAGCATTGCATTTGGAATAGTATCTTCTTTATATATGTAGAAATATAATGTATATTTATATCCTTAGAAAAGCAATGATGAGAACAGCTACCAAATACTGATGAACATTAGCAGTCCCTAATAAAAGTCCTATTTAATTTACAGTGACTAACTTGAATAAATTAACTTGGGAATTATTTTATTTGAGAATACAATTTTAA